CTATCAAGGCCGTAAAACTGACGTAAATATCGCAAGCAAGAATATTATAATCTGATACCAGGAAATGTGAAAGGCATTCAATGACATTAATAATTAGAAAGGCGAGAGATTTGCCTCTTCCGAAAATGGAGAAGCCTCATGGCCTACTTATGATTAAAGGAAATGGTACCAGGATAACAGAAAAGACATGGTAGAAGAGTCTCTCGATGTACAGAGACGATAGTGTGAACGAGAGAATTTCGGTGCGAGATTGCATTGGCCAAAACTTGTGATGGTCTTGTGTGCTTTATCCCCATCTTCAAGGTTTGTGCCATCCACGAGAATCACGATATCGCTTACATACGTTTCAATTATCTTGCATCCGTATTTCTAATTGCAAGTCCACAGCATGCGTTTATCAACGATAGATTAAGTGACGTTTCGGCAGGAGATTTTAAAGGCCTTAGAAGTGAACGATCACAATAACGATTCTGGTAATTGCTCGAAAGAAAATGCATAATGCATATCTTGTTTCAAAAAAATGTTAGACGTTCTAGTTTGTTACGCATGGAGATTATAATTGGTACTGCGTAATCGTTGTCACTTAGGTTCGAGTCTGTTTTGCTATTAATGTCTTCGTTGTATCGAGGTAAGATAAAAGCGAGCGTTGGTGGGCCAAACCAGAATTGGTCACATGTAGACATGATGGCACTACTTCCTTGTAGTCGAAAGTCATGCTGCATGGGTTGATAAGAAAGTCTATCGAAATCTTCGAGTTGTTCGGCAAGATCGTGCGTTTCATAAGAAAACTGTCCGTTGTTGATCCAGTAATCGACACCGGAGACCATGATCCAGAGCCCAATTCAACAAATTTCGAGTGCGACTTGCAATAACCGCGAATTTGCGCGAACTTATCGCAGTCGATGACATGACAACGGCGGCCACCGCCATGTGAAATACAATAGCCTTTGGACTGGGCAAGCTTGGAGCAATTGTCAAACGCACATCGACGGCCACCTCCATGCGCAATACACAGACCTCGGCTTTGAGCAAGCTTTCGGCAGTTAGGATGGTGACAACGAGAGCCACCACCGTGGGCTTTACATAGTTTACGAGTTTGTGCAAACTTTCCGCATTCAGGTATAGAGCATCTTGCACGGTTGGCTTGTCGACGAGCATTTGACGATGGCATCGTTTTGACTGACTTAGAGCACACGTCTTCTTTTTCATTCAATGAACAGCGCATCAAACACAAGCAGCAAAATGTCAACCGCCATCAAGACGTTGTCACATCCTCGCCATATCTCTCTTTCACATCCACACAACACAGAAGCTGTCGTGCCTGACTGCATCTTTCCTTCACGTCGTAAAGAAACATATGTTGAGAGCATACTAAATGTTCGTGAATGAGCCATGTCAGCTCATCTTTCTGAAATGCCTAATCCTGAAATGCCTAATCCTGAAAGCCATTTGTGAGAGGTATCGGGATTAAAATCTCTTGCGTCTTATCCAACGCCTTTTCTATTATTGTCAGAGCTATTGTGGTGTTGAAGACACGTAAGCTA